CATCTGTGTGAGTTAGATTTTTAGTAACGTAAGAACTAAAACTAATGTTTGACGAATATTAGATAAATAAGATGAGAATTTTTCAAATTCCTTAATTTGTTTAAAAGTTATTTTAAAAATAGTAAAATGTCATTAAACATTCAAACTGACAGGCACACTACTAACTGGCCAACCGATGTACCCACACCCAAATTGTAAAATTGTACAAAACTTATGAAATATATATTTTTTTTTTTTGTAAAATCTATATACAGGCAAATCCCGGTATAACGAATCTCACATTAACGAAAATCCGATATAACGAACAGCCAAATTTTTAACATTAACTACCTTATATAGCGAACGTTTAAGAAATTTTATACTCGATATAACGAATAAAAAGAAAAAATACCTAAAAAATCCAGCTTTTGATTTTATATTTATATTGTTAATATCAAAAACTTGATTGAGCAATTAGAATATAATGTAAAAATAAAAGAAGTCGCCCATATTCCTAATTTTAGTTATACTACATAGGTCAGATATCGATCAAAATTCCTTACATTATAATCTAAAAAGCATAAATCTGTTAGATGTGAATTTAATGGTAAATTTAGCTTGAATAGTGTTTAAAAGGGATACATTGAAATAATAAAATTTTACAGCAAAATAAATTATTTCGATACCCCAATATGGCGCAATATTCCAGGGTTTTGAAATTATCAGCATGAGACACAGTTATCGATTCTCAAGTTCAGTTTTTCCTCAAAAGAGTTTAATTCTATCTTCTAGATAATAAAATAAGGTTAAGGAAATAGCAGGAAATTAAAGTTGTTAGAAAACTAAAATCCTTCACAAATTTTTCAATCCGTTCAGATGTTCAAAATGGAAAAAGGTGTGCGTTGATATTAGTTGTTTGAAATAAAATTTGAAGTAATAATTTCATACATTAATTTGAATGGTTTTTTTGTCCATTAAATAAAGAAATTTACTAGAAAAAATAATTCCGATATAACGAATATTTCGATTTAACGAAAGGGCCTGACATTATATCATTCGTTATACCGGGATTTGGCTGTATATTATTTTTAATTTCACTGATAGTGAATAACATAACTTATTTTAACGTATTTTGAATATTTTGTTTTTTGTTTTTAAAGAATATTTGCTTTTTAAACTTAACACAAATTAAAAAAAACTTTGGAGCACCCGTGTAAAAAAATTTAAAACAGTTTTTAAGAAAAATTTAGTCCTTAGTGTAAACTATTAAACTGATCGTATTCTAATAAACAACAAAAAGTGGTATAAATAGAAAGATCAAAGAATGATCCCTCAGTGTTCTTAACATTATAGAGAAAATGTTTAATATTAATTAAATAAATTACCTCCTGAAATTCACAAATATTTTAAAATATTTTAACAAATAAGAGCGTTATATTCGGCTGTGTCGAATCTTATATACCCACCATCAAATCTTATGCCGTAAAAGGAATGCTCCTCTGTAAACATCAGGGAGATAAGGCTTAATTCAATTATGTACGTGATCTTCGAATTAACAAAATATTCATTTTTAAAAACAAAATATGTTTGTCCAATTTTTTAACCATGAACATATATCAGAGGTAGTGTCAATTATGAACTGCTTGTCGTAAAATTTGGTAGAAAAATTTCGTATAACACTCATTCCTTTCGAATTTCATTGCTGTTCTCGAATTTTTAATTCAGTCATAAGCGTAAAAGTTATTATCTAAAGAGGAACTTATATGGGGTTGGGACAATTATATATCGATACCCATAAAATTTTGTACATAGATTTTGTTTTGTTGGTCAGTTATAGACCAATCGTTATAAAATTCGGAATAAAGAATTATAATAAAAATCTTTTTATTGCGAGTACAACGATGAAGGCTTTATATATGAGGGATAGGTTCAATTGTGTAAAAAAATTGTATAAAACTTATTTTTTGTCAATTTTCATCGCTGTACTCATATTTTTAAGGGGACCTTAATAGGGGGTAGGGTAGGTTAAGTCAGTAATGACCGTTTAAATCATTTTCTGAAGGAGACCTTATATGGGGGGTAGGGTCAATTATAGACCAATTTCTATAAAATTTAGTAGAGATTTTGGCTTATATAAAACTTACTTATGTTGAATTTCATCGCTATACTCGTATGGGGGGTAGGGTCAATTTTGGACCGATTCCCATAAAATTTGGTACATAGATTTTGACGCATATAAAACTTATTTATGCCAAATTTTATCGCTATACTCGTTTGTTTAAAACAGTTGTGACTGTTAAAGCTTGTGAAATATTTGGGGAAAAATTTAACTCGCTTGCTCTTTCCGTTCTAACCCTATCGTGATTTCAACAGACAGACGGATGGACATGGTTAGATCGCCTTAGAATTTAATAAGGACCCAAAATATATATACTTTTGTGGGTCTACGACCAATATTTCGATGTGTTACAAACGGAGTGACAAAATTAATATACCCCACTCATCTTTTTTAATGGTGGGTATAAAAAGCACTAAATGCACTGTCATAAAATTAGAAAGCACCACTGTAGTGCCTTTTTGAAAAAAGGCACCATGAGCAAAATTTTCCGCGTTTGGCACACCAAAAAGCACCGCAAATAGTGCTAAAAGCACTAAGTTGGCAACACTGGCTATAAGTACACTGCTTTTGATAATAATAGGTTAATAATAAAATTTAGCAGCGCTTATTTTTCGCATTTCCGGTTATCTTGTATTGAATTAATTTTACGAATTAAAATTAGAAATGGAATAACAAATTTATTTTTTTAATATTTATAAAATTGCATGCTTTTGGGAGAAGTTTTTTTCCACTCATAACTTGGGAGATTTTCTATCATTTAGCCCTTTTACCCCTCAATTATTCCACAGACGTCTAAAGCAAAATGCCAGAGTCAGTGTAAATAAGTGATGGAATTTTTTGTTAGTCAGAATATTTTATTATATTCAAAGCAAAATTTCATGGTTTTGCGGTCATATTTTATTTAGGTTAAAATATTTCTATATATAGAGAGAGAAAAACTCTTTTTTTAACTCATGGCCACCATTAGATATCTAAGACCAGCAAACATTTGAAAAAAAAAAAAAAAAATGTTTTCATAGAATATTTGCTGTAGTTCAATTCTAGTTTAGTTCTAGTTCCGTTCTAGTTCAGTTCTAGTTCAGTTCTAGTTCAGTTTTAGTTCAGTTCTAGTTCAGTTCTAGTTGAGTTCTAGTTCAGTTCTAGTTCAGTTCTAGTTCAGTTCTAGTTCAGTTCTAGTACAGTTCTAGTTCAGTTCTAGTTCAGTTCTAGTTCAGTTCTAGTTCAGTTCTAGTTCAGTTCTAGTTCAGTTCTAGTTCAGTTCTAGTTCTAGTTCAGTTCTAGTTCAGTTCTAGTTCTAGTTCAGTTCTAGTTCAGTTCTAGTTCAGTTCTAGTTCAGTTCTAGTTCAGTTCTAGTTCAGTTCTAGTTCAGTTCTAGTTCAGTTCTAGTTCAGTTCTAGTTCAGTTCTAGTTCAGTTCTAGTTCAGTTCTAGTTCAGTTCTAGTTCAGTTCTAGTTCAGTTCTAGTTCAGTTCTAGTTCAGTTCTAGTTCAGTTCTAGTTCAGTTCTAGTTCAGTTCTAGTTCAGTTCTAGTTCAGTTCTAGTTCAGTTCTAGTTCAGTTCAGTTCTAGTTCAGTTCTAGTTCAGTTCTAGTTCAGTTCTAGTTCAGTTCTAGTTCAGTTCTAGTTCAGTTCTAGTTCAGTATTAGTTCAGTTCTAGTTCAGTTCTAGTTCAGTTCTAGTTCAGTTCTAGTTCAGTTCTAGTTCAGTTCTAGTTCAGTTCTAGTTCAGTTCTAGTTCAGTTCTAGTTCAGTTCTAGTTCAGTTCTAGTTCAGTTCTAGTTCAGTTCTAGTTCAGTTCTAGTTCAGTTCTAGTTCATTTCTATTTCAGTTCTAGTTCAGTTCTAGTTCAGTTGTAGTTCAGTTGTAATTCAGTTGTAGTTCAGTTCTAGTTCAGTTCTAGTTCAGTTGTAGGTCAGTTCTAGTTCAGTTCTAGTTCAGTTTAGTTCAGTTGTAGTTCAGTTCTAGTTCAGTTGTAGTTCAGTTCTAGTTCAGTTCTAGTTCAGTTCTAGTTCAGTTCTAGTTCAGTTCTAGTTCAGTTCTAGTTCAGTTCTAGTTCAGTTCTAGTTCAGTTCTAGTTCAGTTCTAGTTCAGTTCTAGTTCAGTTCTAGTTCAGTTCTAGTTCAGTTCTAGTTCAGTTCTAGTTCAGTTCCAGTTCAGTTCTAGTTCAGTGCTAGCTCAGTTCTTGTTCAGCACGTGGTTGCTGGGTTATTACTACTAAAACTTTAATATCAAGGATATTTCAAAATAAATACATCACAGCAGTTCGCGGTGGCACTCCGTCCCTAACTAGCGATCGTAACTATTATTAAGTGTTAAAACAGTGGTTACAAACCTGTGCCAATATAGATTATAATTCAATTCCATTTCTAATACATAAGCAATAGACAAATAGACATTCGAAATTATTACAGTACTACGATTCCGATTTCTTACTAGATTACCAGGGTGGTGTAAAGTAACCAGTTCACTTATTGAAAGTATAAGGTGACAAATAAAAAAATTACAGTCAACATTGACCACTTATAAAACTTCTGGGTTTTGCAAAGTGTATGCAAATTTGTATTATTCATATACATATATACTGCAACTATTTGTTGCAAGTTACAGTTTTAATACTGCTACTAGTATTACAAGCTTTTCTAATGAATGAACGAACTGGGTATAAATAAATAACTTTAACTAAATGGAAAAAAATAAAATATTATTAAAATAACCTTCAAAAACTAGCAACATCTCTTCAGAAATAGATCTCACAAAAATGGATTTTTCATGTACGCTGTCATTTTGGTTAAAATACAATTCATTAGAGAATTTTGTAGAACAAGAAAGTAACAAAAATGTATATGTTTATGGTAATGTATATAAAGCTTAAACAAATTTGTAGAAAAAGTTCTTAAACACTTACCAACTCATCGGATCCATCATAACAGTCGGGATCACCATCACACTTCCATTTCTTGTGTATACAGGCTCCATTTGTGCATGTGAATTCATGAGCATCACATGGTACTTTGGCACAATTCTTCTCATCGGAACCATCACCGCAATCATCATCATGATCACACATCCAACGTTTTTGTATGCAACGACCATTGCCGCAAGTGAACTCATCAGAGCGACAAGTTTCGTCTAGGAGTTGGGGTTTAATTTAATTAAATATATTAGAAACAAAACATTACGGTTTGAAATATTTAGCTTTTAAGGGTTAAGACAAGCTTTAGCATAAAGTGCATTTAAAGGGTTAATACAATATTAGTGGATTAGTATTTTAGGAATATATATTTGTGTAGATATACAGAGGAATCTTTTTAGGTATTTACTATAACTACTTCAACAAAATAATATAAAATTTGAATAAAAATCCAAAACCACACATTAAAACAAATAAGAGTATGGATGTTAAAAGCGACTTTATTATACCGTACACCGCTATAGGACATTAAATTATTCATTAATTGATTGGAAACTTTATAACATTATAACTTTATAACTTTATAACTTTATAAATTTATAACTTTATAACTTTATAAATTTATAACTTTATAACTTTATAACTTTATAACTTTATAACTTTATAACTTTATAACTTTATAACTTTATAACTTTATAACTTTATAACTTTAACATTATAACTTTATAACTTTATAACTTTATAACTTTATAACTTTACAACTTTATAACTTTATAACTTTATAACTTTATAACTTTATAACTTTATACCTTTATAACTTTATAACTTTATAACTTTATAACTTTATAACATTATAACTTTATACCTTTATAACTTTATAACTTTATAACTTTATAACTTTATAACTTTACAACTTATAACTTTATAACTTTATAACTTTATAACTTTATAACTTTATAACTTTATAACTTTATAACTTTATAACTTTATCTTTATACTTTAACTTTATAACTGTATAACTTTATAACTTTAGCTTGCTAGGAAACACTATAAAGGACAAAGGATGTGGCCAGAAATATTGATTTATTCCAATGAAGTAAGGTCTTAATCGAATTTTGTAAATGATACGACATTTGTTGAAAACAACATTTAAAAAAACAACATTATTTCTACCACAAATAAAATGTAATTATTTACAACCATAAATACCATCACCAAGTGCTAAATAAGTATAAATTAAAAAAAAAAATAAAGTAAAACTAAAACCATAAATACTAAATATTAAGCAAATAAATACAAATAATTAAATAGTGCAAATTAAAATCCGAGAAAATACTTGAAAACCAAATATTTTCTCTCGATGTATAAGATTGTGTGTGATAAAAAAGATAAAGTGCAAACAACTACTGGTAACCGATAGAAGGGACACTAAAAAGCCAAGTGTAACTTAAATGCTATTTAAAGCCAAAATAAAAGTGTGTAAAAAGTGCAAGTGTGTCTTTTTATCTCAAAGATCAAAACTACAAAAAAGTGTCTAAAAAAAATTCTTTTGAATTTTTAAATTCTTACTGCATGAAGCCTCATCGGAACCATCTGAACAATCTTTACTTTGATCACACATCCAGGCCAAGGGTATACATTCACCCTCGCCCGATTTACAAGTGAACTCATCGGGGGTACAAGTTTTACTTTCTGCAATAAAAGAAAAGAAGATAAAGGGAAATTTTGAATTTCGTAAATAAAGGTATGTATGAAAAGGTATCAAGTGTTTATGTAGGCTGTCAAGTGTGTTGAGAACAGTGTAGTATAGCTTAAGGAGGTTTTGTTTGTTTAAAAGAAAGCATTTGATGTAAACAGTTGTCATATTTTCTTTTAGAAGTTTCACAACAGATTTTCTTGTGGTTTCCTTAATTTCCTTTCTTTAACAGCTTTAATTGTCTCATTATGCCGTTAATTAAAGGTAATTATTTTCACTGAAACTTTATAATTATCATTTTAATATTTTTCTCACATAATTAATATTTCTTTTAATGCCAACGAAACGTATACATTTAATTATTATATTTTTAGAATGATTTACAAACATTTATTATGCATCATAAATTAATAATTCGTATTTTAATTAAACTAAATTAGTTCATTTTTGAGGTTGGAATTTTAAATATGAGAATGTGGGTTGTGATTGTTTAAAATGTATGTATTATATTTTTGGTCTAAATGTTATAAATATTTTACTAAAATTTAATTATCAAAATATGCATTAAATTAGCATTTCTGTACATGATTAAATAATTAAAATAGAAATAAAATCGCATATAGTTCAAAATTAAACATTTTAAAAGGAAAGGGGATAACAAAACAAGCCTTATGGAAAGGATTCGAGCTTTTCTTACAAAAAATGTCTACTATTTAAAAAAAGGAGAAATTATAGTCAAAACATATACGATCGTTGGATGACCTACACTGACGGTGCCATTATGAAATAGTTTTTAAAGTATTACTTATAACTTTTTTTAACTTATAACTTGTATAACTTTATAACTTAATAACTTTATAACTTTATAACTTATAACTTTATAACTTAACTTAGAACTTATAACTTAGAACGTATAACTTTAGAACGTTATAACGGGATAACTGTATAACTAAACTTTATAACTTTAGAACGTGAGAACTGGGAGAAACGGTAGAACTGATAACTTTAAACGGAAAGGTAGACATAACGGAAACGTATAACGGGAGAAAGGGAAGAACGTAGAACAGAACGGGAGAACGTGAGAACTGGTGAGAACGTATGAACTTAGAACTATATAACTGATAAACGTATAACGGGAGAACTTTATAACTTATAACTTTATAACTTATAACTTTAAAACTTAATCTTATAACTTATAAAACTTTATACTTAAACTGTATAACTTTATAACTTTTAAATATAACTTATAATATAATCTAACTTATAACTTATAAATATACTGTATAACTTTATAACTTAGAACGTAACTTTATAACTTTAAAACAGAACTTTAACTTTATAACTTTATAACTTATAAACTTTAACTAAACTTTAAACTATATAACTTTAAACTTGTAACTTGAAACTTTATAAACTTATAACTTTATAACTTATAACTTCCATAACTTTTTTACCTTGTAACCTTAAATTTTTATTACTTTAAAGAGAACTTCAAAAAAATGTGCAAGATTGTAATAAATTTTGATTCCATTAAAAAAAAAATCTTAAAATATGCCATTTATGTTATTAACTAATAGATATCTAAAACCTCAAGCATTATCATTTGTATATTTTAAATTTAAACAAAGTGACTTTAAACTTCTAGTTAGCTTTATCCTAAAACAAAGAACAAATCTTAAGAGACAAAATATTATTTTTTATATTTTATTATATAAAAATTTGTATTTGCACTAGAAAAATAAAAAGGGGAAACCTTTGAATTTGCCTAATAGTATACTACATATTTTCTTGCGTATCTACACAAAAACCTACTTCATTTAAAAGCTGCACTCAAGTATTAAACACATATACACACTCATGCAAAACAATTGACATACAAATCAACACTACTTTAGTTTTCTTCTTCAGCAGTAGTCTATTATTCTTCTCCTCTCTCTCTCTAACTCGTTCATACTTTGTTCACTATTTGCTGCTTGTTAGTATTTGCTTTTAACTGAGGTTAAAAATAAAATCATGAAGAATTTTCCATTCTACAGGAATTTCTTAAGTGTTTCATCATCACAATAATTGACTATTTAAGTTTGTGTGCGTGTATGTTCATGTGTCTAAGTGAAACTTAGTGTTATGGAAAGGGGAGGGAGAGAAGGGGAGGACGTTGTGTTAGTTTAGTTATTCTAGGTATGTATGTAGTGATGACATACATATATCCCAATAAGCAAAAACCTTTGAAATGATGTAAATATATATTTGAAAACCTATTCAAATTTCATACATAGCCTTTGAGAACAAATTTGAAAATTTTTGTTTTCAAATGGAAAATTATGGCCTTCTCAAACAAAAAGGCAGTTAGAAATCAAACGTATTTTTCAAATGTATTTCAAATTTAAAAAAAGGCTAGAGGTAAGCTTGAAACTAAAAAAATTTTCAAACGTATTTCAAGTATTCTTATTATTATTTTCATACATATTTCAAACCCTAATTATAATGCTAACTATTGCAAAATTCATATATTTTTTTACATCACCTGAAAATAAAACATTCATACATTTATTTTAGCAAATTTTTCTTTTATATCTCCGATTATTTCTCCTATATTTAACGTTTTTTCGCTCCTTTGCTGTAGAAAAAATGTTCTGTTTTTATTTTTCTAAAATAATTTATTTTTTGAAAGAAACTTTTCTAAGTTCAATTAAAACAAAACTTTGAAAATTTTATAAATATCACACATTATATTTTTTTAAACGTTTTTTGAAATTATCATGTTTATTTCAAAGGTTAAACTTTAAAATTTGAAAACAATTTGGAAAATACATTATTTAGTTAAGAAAAATTTCAAAAATATTCACAGGTTTGAATCGATGTTTATTGGGATAAATTGTTTTTGAAATTGTACACGTACATAGTTTTCACTTATACTTAAACACTGTAAGGTATAACTATTCAAAACTTATACCTGTAGGTCGGGGTGACAGGCTCTGTATATGTCAATTACACTGCACATTAATAATGACTCTTTAATAGTATGTTTTTGATGGATAAAATAATGTCTTTTGAAAATCTAAAGACTTAAAATGACTATTACACAAAAGTGACGATTGACTACCCGCTGCATTACTTGAATAACATTGATCTCCTCTCTGCATTAACAATAATTTATGTGATTCAAATTTATTTAAAATTAGCGATGCATTGACTCTTTTGAAAACAGCTGAGACTTTAAAGTGGTCTTCTATTAAGAACATAACGTTTGTATTTGTAGTCGTAGTAGTTTTAACACAAATACATACAAATATCTAATAATTGTTAGCTACTGGTATATTTTAGTTTATTTATCGCAATTTGTTTGTTTGTGTGTGTATGTGTGCTGTTTAACAGAGGAAAATCAAATTTGAAATTGCCTAGAATTCTTTTACATTTACATTTTCTTTCCCTTAACGGTAATTGAAGCCAACTACAAAGGAAACTGACAATATTGATTATGGAAAGAAATCAAAGAAAAACTAGAATTGAAAGAAAAAACAACAAACACTAATGGCAAGAATATAAATAAATTAATGAAAATAAAAGTTAAATAAGGTAAATGTAAATGACAGCCAAGGACAGGTCGGTAGAATGTAAAACAAGTAAAAATGGCTGGATTTTTTAAGAATATTTAAAATTTTGAATTTGTTCTAAAAAGTTTTATTTTATTAAAAAAAACTTAAATTTTTGATATAAAACATTAATTTAATAAAGTTAGTAGAAGCATGTACTACTACTATTTTACAAAATAGTACTTTTTTAAAAAGTTCTATATTAGGACTAAAACAGTTATTCCTCAATATAATTTAAGTGTTTTTACATGCAACTTTTATTTTAAAAAGGTAGTAAAAATACTACTATTAGCAAAATTTCATAAAATAGTATTCTTTAAAAAAAAGTTTATATACAATTGTTCTTCTGTTTTTATATAACAACAATTTTTCTCGATTGATTTAAATTTTTGAAATAGTAGTAGATTACTACTATTTGCTAAAAGTATTCAAAAACTATAAATTTTTATTTGGTAATGATTTGCGTTGAATTAACTTTAAAAAACTAATGCTTTTTAAAATTTGAAAAAGTAGTAGATTAGTACTATTTACCAAAAGTGTCCAAAATCGTGAATTTTTATTTAAAACTGATTTATGTTAATATTAACCTAACAAAATCAAATTTTTTACTCGAATAATTTAAATTTTTAAATAGTAGTAGATTAGTTCTATTTTCTAAGTGTTCAAAATCATGAATTTTTATCTAAAACTAATTTGCTTAAAACAAACTTTAAAATTCAAATGTTTTTTCTGTATAATTTAAAATAGTAGTAGATTAGAACTATTTGCTAAAAATAAGCAAAAACCTTAAATTTTTATTTTGGAATTGACTTGCGTTGAAATAACTTTAAAAAACTAATGCTTTTTAAAATTTTAAAAAAGTAGTAGTTTATAGTACTATTTACCAAAATCATGAATTTATGTTTGAAACCGATTTATATTATTACTAACCTCAACAAATGTAAGATTTTACTTGAATAACTTAAATTTTAAAATAGTAGTAAATCAGTACTATTTTCCAAAAGTTACAAAATCATGATTTTTCCCTTGAACTGATTTATGTTAAAATCATATATAAAAATAAAGATTTTGCTTAAAAAAATTTTCAAAATCAAATGGTTTTTCTATATAATTTATATTTTAAAATAGTAGTATATTAGTACTATTTGCTAAAAGTATGCAAAAACCATCGATTTTTACTTAGAACTTATTTTTGTTAAAATAACTTTAAAAAACTAATGCTTTTTTAAAATTTGAAAAAAGTAGTAGATAAGTACTATTTACCAAAACTGTCCAAAATAATGAATTTTTATTTGAAACTGATTAATATTAATATTAACCTTACAAAATCAAATATATTACTTGAATAATTTAAATTTTAAAATAGTAGTAGATTAGTACTATTTTCTAATAGAGTCCAAAAT